CTTAGACAAATGGGCCCCCAAAGTTACTGTTGTTTACAGAGAAAGCCATCTTTTGAATGTCAAAGTTATTATTTATCACTTCAATTATTACAACCATTATTATTTTTCTGAATAACTGTTGACTTTTGCAATAACCAGCTGGGAGCTTCTTTTAAAGAACATTCTTGTCCTTTTGTCATTTCACATGTAGGAGGGTCATTATAGGATAAATTCCCCAGTGATTCACCTTCTGGCAAAAGATACACCTTTTAAATTTTCAAAAGATAGGCCCTCATTGCTCTCCAAGGAAGTAGTAGCACATTATACTCACCAGCAATGTATGGAATGACGTTTAGATTTAGGTGTGACAGTACTTTTCCAAGCTAAGGGTTAAAAAAGCAGGCTTCGCAAAAATCAGTGGCTTGTGTCCTAGGGAAAGATAAAGGACCCTTGGACCCATGTTTTCTGGCTCAGGGGCTTCCGCAGCCTGATGCCTCCTGGGGTCCCCTCTCCAGGCTGCCATAGACTTGACGAATTTTCCTTTGGGCACAGAGCCCAGGCGTGCAGACAGCACACTGAAACTGGTTGTGTCACATTGGCAGAGAGAACATCTTCCTCCAAGACAGCAGTAATTATAACCAGAAGCTCCCTCTTCCCTGAGTCACTCTGAACCTAAAGGCCAGAAACCAACCCAGGACACCAAAGGGATAGTCACTAGAGTGTCCTCAAGAATAGTCATACGTCTGCTTGTCCTGCCTGCTCAGTCCTGCTGAGGCCAGGGATGGCCTCACTGAAGCACTCAGGCATACGGGAGACAGCTCAGTGAGGTGGCACCAGGACTCGCTTCTCCCTGTCCCCTCCATGGCACTCAGCACCTTTGTCCTGAATCTAACTCACCTAATGGTCCAGCCCTAAGAAGGACAGGCAGGGAAGGACAGGGGATGGAGAAGGGAAGTGGGGAGTTACCAAGGTGTCTGTCCATCTTTCCTTCTGACTCAGGAACCTGACCTTCATCTTGCTTCCAGAAGAACAGTGGGGCCCATTCCTGCCCAGACCTGCCTGCAGCAACCCGGCTGTCTTATCCACAGCACAATAGTGCTTCCTGTAAGGTGAGGCTGGACCAGCTTCTCCTCCCTCCCCTGCCTGTTATCTACCTCTAGCAAATTAAAACTGGCCCACATGACTTCCTAGCACAGCTCCTATAAACTGGGAAGACATCAACAAGTAGCTGTAAACAAACAAACATATTGGTTTTAGGTGGTTGTCTGTCTTCCTTTGCAAAGAATATAAGTGGGTGATTAACTGGGAGTTACCATGAGACAGCACTGCCCTAAGCACTTTTGTAATATGAACTCACTTAATCCTTGCAGCAGTCATAAGAGTTAGCACTGTAATTATTCCCATTTTACAGATGAGTAACCGGAGGCACCGAGAGACCAGGAAGGTCATACAGTGAGTAAGCGGCAAAGCTGGGAACAGCAGATGTCAGACAGCCTCTCCCCTTTATTTCATTCTTCCTCATCCCTCAGAAACACCCAGGAGTTTCTCCCTTTCTGAAATATTAGCTAGTAATCCCAACCATCTGTCCAGCCTGCACTGGTACAAGGGAATGGTTTCCCCAGCCCTGGGTGTGACACAGGAATCCTCCCTGATAACTGAGCTCATTCCTGATGCTGCCCCAATACATTAACCCCAAATCAGTGGCTTACAGCAAATGCAGTTGTTGATGTTGGAAGTCCCAAAGTGCAGGGTCAAGGCAGCTTCACTCCCTCTGGAGGCTGTGGGAAAGGAACCCTTCCCCAGGCCACCTGCATCCTCTGGATCAAAACTCCTCCCTGCAGCATCGAGGCCAGCAGCGCAGGTCTTGCCTCCCTGGTCACGTCTCTGTCTGACCCTAGTGTCTTCTACTCTTTGAGACTTGTGACTACACTGGACCCACCTGGATAGACTGGGGCTTCCCCATGTCAGGGATCCTCAGTCACATCTGCAAAGTGAAGCCACTTTCACCACCCTGGGGACAGGTGTTTTGCAGGAGGGCACTCTCCTATCTGTCACAATAACCTGTGACATTTCCAAGCCCTTTCTCTTCTCTTTCAAAGACCCCAGCTCTTTTGAAGAGGATGTCATTTTTATCCAGTAACCTGTCCCTTTAACCCAGTGCTCTCAAACTCTGCTGCATGTTGAATTCACCAGTCCTTCTGTCAAACCCCTAACCAATCACATCACAATACCTGGGACGTGTGCCAGGTATCAGTGCTGACTATTTTTTTTTTTTTTTGTACAAGAGATTGAACCTAGGTGCTTAAATACTGAGCCACATCCCCATTCCTTTTTATTTTTTGTTTTGAGACAGGGTCTCACTAAGTTGCTTAGGGCCTCACTAAGTTCCTGAGGCTGGCTTTGAACTCGTGATCCTCCTGCCTCAGCCTCCTGAGCCACTGGGATTACAGGTATGAGCCACTGCATCTGGTTGAACACTTAATATTTTTTAAAAAATCTCCAGGGATTGCAATATGCAAAATTTTGGAACCATTGTTAAGATCAACAGAATTCCCACACTACCCCCCACAACCCTTCAACAATGAATGTGAGTAGGGCTGGCCACACCCTACATCATCTCAAACTACCTGCTGTGGCTTGAGTACGTTTATCCCTGTGCAAACTCATGTTGAAATGTAGTGGTGTTGACAGGTGGTGGGCCCTTTAAGAGGTGATTAGGTCACGGGGGCTCTACCTCTTCAGGGATTAATGTAGCTCTCACAAGAATGAGGCTGGCATCATCAGACCAGGCTGTTTTGTGGAAACCAGAATCTCCCCTCACTATCCTGTACACACAAGCTCCTCCCAGTAGCGCCTGCTTCCCCTTTCCAATAGTCTATCATGATACCCAACAAGGCCCTCATTAGAAGCTGAACGGACACCAGTACCACAATCTTGGACTGCCAGAACTGTGAATAAAATCAACCTTTTTTCTTTATACATTTCCCAACTCAGATTTTGTTATAGCAACAGAAAATGGACCAAGATAGTTGGCTTAGCTCTGGTCTCAGTGCTATCCCCCAGGATCCCTTCCTTTGGAGACCTCCATTCCTTTAGGCTTCCTGCCTCCCTTCCTTACCAAGCTCCAGGGCCATCACATCATTCCTTCTGCCCCCAGTGGCCATGATTCTGCACTCCAATCCTTTCCTTGCAGACATCTCCCCTGTTATAATTTAACCACTGTACCCCGCTGCACTAGCAGCTGGACATTTGAGAGTGGGAGGATCAGGAGGCTGACCCAGCTTTCTTGATCTCAAGGACCACAGATCCCATGGGTCCTGGATTCAGAGTCTGGACGCTGCCTAATAAATTACTTTACTACTCTACAAAATGACTGTTCTGTTCCTAAATCTCCCAAACTAATCTTTCTCAATGATGACTCAACTTTCTCAATCTTCCAAGAACTAACAGATGCCCTCAGGGCACATCTGTAACCACCCCACTCACTGTGCTGCAAGAGGAAAGCTGCCCTGCTGCCCTGCCGCCCCGGCCTTGCCCACGTGGTCCTGGGTCTCTCCACTTGATCTTCCCACAAAGTTTATTGTTGCAATTACTCTCTTTCCTTCACCAACATCACCTTTCTCTGAGATTATTGCTTTTACATAAAACATGCTTTAATATGTCTATGAGAAGAAAAAAAATATGTCTATCAGTTTTTGAAACTCCTTTCTTTTTTAAGAGATGGGGGTCTCACTGCCCGCACTGGCCCCAAACTTCTAGGCTGACGTGAGTCTCCTGCCTCAGCCTCAGCCTCAGCCTCAGCCTCCCCCGAGCAGCTGGGATTGCAGGCATGTGTCATTGCACCTGGTTGTTTTGAAACTCTTTAAAAAAGAATTTAATTAGTCAAAGTACGTTCTCTGATCACAGTGGAATTAAGTTAGAAGTCATCAACAACAAGATAACTGGTAAATCCTGAACAACTTGGAAATTTAATTTAAAAAAAAAAAAAAAGCACTTCTAAATACTGTTGGTCAAAGAGGATATCAAAAGGTAAATTAGAAAGTATTTTGAACTAAACAAAACTGAAAACAACATGTTCAATATTTGTGGGATTCCACTAAATAGTACTTTAAAGGAAACAGTTCATAATGCTCATATTAGACATGTCTCCAATCGAAAATCCCAGCTTCCATCGTAAGAGACTGAAGAGCAAATAAAACCCAACTGAGCACATAAAAAGAAAGATCAGAACAGAAATCAAAATAATCAGAAAAAAATGGAGGAAAAAAAGATTAATAAAACCAAAAGGTGGTTCCTTGAAGGGGAGAAAAAGTTAAACTTTAAGCCAGAGAGATCAGAGACAAAAAGAAAGGCCAGGTATGGCCGAGTGCACCTGTCTGCTACTCCGGAGAATCATCTGGGCCACAGAGTGTGGGGCCAGTGTAGTAGGCAACAGAGCGAGACCCCTTTCACAGCAACCAACTAGCCAAACAAAAAATCAAACTGGTAGAAAACCTTAAACTTTCTTAATCTTCAAGAGGAAAAATATATATATATATACTGGGTTAGACCAGCAGGTGCCCACCTTCCCGACCTTGGGTATTGGCTTTATAGAGGGTGGAGTCAGGGTAACAGAGGCACCAGGCAGTTTGGCCAGCTGGGCTTGGGAAAAGTTGAGTCACGATGAGATCACAGCCATCCCCCCATCTGGAAGTCATCAATCAAATAGGCTGGGATTACACGGAAGAAGATGGGTGGAGCTCTAATTGCATGCACACCTTGACACGCCTTTGATTTTGTTGGTGGATGCACAGATCTGACTGGGAGGGGAAACGCAGATGGATCTAGATCTCTTTGGAGATGACTCTATAGAGATATATCCTCCTTGAACAAAGCTAAAGGCAGACTTTACACCACAGAGGTACGTTAGGATTAAATAAAACATTCCTATAAAGGATCTGGCACTCAGTAAACATCCTCTCCCACTTGGGGGCGCACAGGGGCTCACAGAGCGGTGTAGCCCGCCACACCTGTCTACTTACGGAACTTCGCTAATTCTCTCCGGAGCGAGCCAGAGGATCGTTGTGTGCAGAAGCAGTTACTATGTCTAAGTATTTTCTTTGCGCGTTAGGCAAAAGCGAACATTTTCATTTTGCAATGGATAATGGACTCACGCCCAAGAAAATTACTCAGCACTTGTTTTTCTGTCTTTGGAGTACTCCCGAAATAGTTGCTTCGGTCCAGCTGCTAAGAACCCGTAGCTCGCTACTGACCCATCGCCGACCGGTGTGGCTTAGAGGAGAGCAGTCTCGCAGATCGCCTCTCATTTCAGAGCCTGGATCAAAACCCCAGCGCCGGGAGGAGGCGGACCCGCAAGCTGGGGTGTTACGAAACCTTCGGGATCAGACAGCCCCTCCTCAGAGGGGAGGGACCGGCTCCGGGGGCCTTGTTCTCTAGGAGTCGCAGCACTGGACCCCAGATCTTAGATCTGCGCCTCTACTCCGACCCTGGCCCGGCTCCGCGGCGCGCACCCGGGGTGGTCCGCTGTCAGGTCCGCTCTCCACACAGGTGTCCCGCGCTGTCCACCCGGCCATGTCGTCCTGCAGCCGCGTGGCCCTGGTCACCGGAGCCAACAAGGGCATAGGCTTCGCCATCGCCCGTGAACTGTGCCGGCAATTCTCGGGGGACGTGGTGCTCACCGCACGCGACGAAGCGCGGGGCCGGGCAGCGGTGCAGCAGCTGCAGGCCGAGGGCCTGAGCCCGCGCTTCCACCAGCTGGACATCGACGACCTACAGAGCATCCGCGCCTTGCGCGACTTCCTGCGCAAGGAGTACGGGGGTCTCAATGTTCTGGTCAACAACGCGGGCATCGCCTTCAAGAGTAGGTGCGGGGCTTGGAGGGAGAACTCCCCGAGGCGCTCCGAGGGTACCGGCGACAAGCCGCAGGCGCCCCCACTGTCCACTACTGTGATCTGGGAGGGCGGTGCCAGCCCCTGGGGATGCGCTCAGCTCCCCCTTGCAGGGCGGTTATTCGCTTTCCTGGATTGGGGAGCTCTGACACCGCGCGCCCTGCCTGCCCTGCCGGCACGCCGGCCTGTGCAAGCCCGTGCGCCGCCCAGGGGCCGCCCAGAACTTTCAGCTATGGCTGTTTGTAGGAAAACCGGCCTCCGGGGAGGGAGCCACGCCTTGCTAAGCTCATCAGCTTTCCGTCCACTGCAAGAACCATTTTCTCTGCTAAGGGTCTCCAAAATCACTTGGCTTTCGCTTTCCCCGTGAAACAAGGGCGCATTCATAGATGCCAGGAGACATCTGCCCAGGACAGGAAATGAGTCGCTAAGACACAATTAGCGCGCACTTGCACATTAGTGGATTTCATAGTTTGTTTAATGGAGAGCTTTGATAGGCTCTGGCCAAAGGGAAGCGAGCCTGGTTCCCGCCCCCAGGGAGCTAATGTTTGTTATAAAAAATGCAAATATGGCTTTTAAGAAGCATCTTCCTTTAGGGGAAGAAATCAAGGAAATTATTTATTCCAGCAATTTGTCAATGAAGAAAGTTACTGAGTTGCCATGATCCAGGAGTATAAAGAAACAGGCCAGCTTCACTTACAATGAGGGGGGAAGAGAAGCCTGAGGCAGGAAGAGGGAAAGAACCGATTGTGCAGAAGTAGCTCTGCGTTTGGCCTTGGGCACGCTCTGCCACGGACCCAAGTCTTCCTCTCACCAGCACCTCCAACTCAGCCTCTAGGCTTTGGGGAGCTGCGAACCGGGAATTGACAGCCTCAGGAGTAGACTGCCGCAGTTGGCTGAGGGATTGGTGAATAAAAACCCGGCTTCCTAGACAAGAGGTCTAGATATAGCCCTTATGCGCGGTACCCGCAAACCTGGGCACAAACTGGGTGCCCAGGCTCCACACCTGCTGAATCAAAATCTGCATTTTAACACAAATCCCAGGTATCTCCTGTGCCTATCAAGTTTGAGAAGCAGCAGCAAAGCCAGGGGTCTGGAAGTGGGGCGGGAAGCCCAGAAGCTGCAGCATTACCAATGAGAGACTCCCTGGGTGTGGCCCCAAAAGCCGTTTTCACAGGCCCTGCAGGGGATTCCCATGCACATTGAAGTTTGAGAACCAACCACGAGAGATTTTAAAAATTAGCTTCTCTTTTAATTAGTTGTTAGGCAATAGAATCCATGTTCTCATGAGTGTGTATGTGGGGGGTGACTTTTTCTTTGTTTCTTTGTCTTTTTGAAAGTGGATGATCCAACACCCTTTGACATTCAAGCTGAGATGACCCTGAGGACAAACTTTTTTGCTACTAGAAATGTCTGTACTGAATTACTGCCCATAATGAAGCCTCATGGTAAGTCCAGGGGATGGACTGTCAGGTTGTGTTCCTTAGGAGGGAATAAGCCATGAGCCCTCTGGACTGGCCCCGAGCAATTACCCAGGGCTGCTGCTGTTTCTTTTCTTTCTTCCTCTTTTTTTTTTTTTTTTTTTTGGTGGTGCTGGGAATTGAACCAAGAGCTTCCCACATGCTGGCAAGCTCTCTATCACTGAGCTACATTCCCAGACTCTGCTGTTTCTTTGTAAGGGGGTGGGGGAAGGGAGATTGAAGATTGTCCTAATTTCTCAAGTGTCTGGCTCCTTGCTTGAACATTTCAGCTTTCAAAGAATTGTATGACAGACCACAATGCTCTTGGGATCCAGATCACATGATCTTCAACCCTCATGGACAAAATGTCACAAGTCCCCAAAGGCTTTTCAGTGAATCTCCTCCTCCCCAAGGATGTGCCCACACCTGGCTTGTCTGGGGGACCTGCAGGATGGTGTCTGCTCTGGCATTGTGACTTTCCCTATGTTCCTTTCTTACTCCCAATTTTGCAAGCTGATTGAGAAAATCTGAAATAATTTTTCTTTATTAGTAAATACAAAGCCAGGTGTGGTGGCACATGTCTGTAATCCCAGAAGCTCAGGAGGTTGAGGCAAGAGAATGGCAAGTTCAAAGACAGCCTCAGCAACAGTGAGATGCTAAGCAACTCAGTGAGAGCCTGTCTCTAAATAAAATACAAAATAGGGCTGGGGATGCAGCTCAGTGGTCCAGTGCCCCTGAGTTCAATCCCTAGTATGCCCCCCCACACACACACAAAAAAAAAAAGTTACCTGTGATTCTGAGAAGGATTGTGTGGTTTATTAGAAATGTGATTTTGAATAGGATTATCTCTGAATGCAAGCATTTTTAAGTCTAAATAGGTATACGGTGAAAGGCACACTTCTGCTCCCTACCCACTCACTCCCAAGCTCCACAGGGATTGATTTTCTTTATCAGTTTCTTAATGGACTGGGATCATAGAAAGCCTGCAGACAGAGTTGTAGGTTCTGGTCATAGGAAGCCTTTGGTCCAGGTGCATGGAGCTGGTGAGTGCCCAGAGGCCAGGAGATAGAGTTTACAAATATAAACCTAAGTAAATAAAAATGCATATTTTCAAAACTCCCTTTTTAACACAAATGGTGAAGATTAGCACAGTATTTGCCACCTTAATTTTTTTTTTTTTTAAGATTTAATCTTGCAACATTTCCCAGGTTGGCCTAGTCTTCTGGGCTCAGTGATCCTCCTGCCTCAGCCTCCCAAATACCTGGGACTACAGACCCATGCTACCACACTCAATGTAAATCTTGCTTTATGTTTGCTTTACACCTCTGGGGCTCTTCCCAGATTAGAACAGAACGTTTTCTGTTTTTCCACTGCAGGGCTATCTTTTACCAAGTTATCAGGAAGTCTTCTCCCTGCTGAATTTTACAGTCATAAAATTTAAGAGCTGAAAATTGCTGATGAAGCCTTGCGTTGCTTCACCTCCACTTTCCTGAGAGGGGAATTGGAGCCAAAAGAACTGAACACACACACACACACGCACACACACACGTATTCATGGATTTGGAAAATGTCTCCTAGTTTCTTGATTTCACTACTCAATCAAATTAGAATAACTTGTGCTAGTGAAATAGGAATTAGAGTGTCAAATGATTATAAACCAAGCCATTTTGAAAGACAGTGAAAGACTCGGGGGAGAATGGGGTTTGAGAATTAATCCAGAGCAGGTGAATATCTATCTTTAGTCAGTTTCCAAAGTTGAAATCTCTAGTTTACAAAATGCTAATATTTGTGATTTTTAGTAAACCTGGTGTTTACCAGAAGGGAAATATTGAGCATTGCTGCTTCCTAATGTCTCTTTGTTTAGCTCTAAAATGCATTTAAAATTTTAAAAAGCCTTTGGTTTGCTTGTTTGATTCTGAGTAAATTGGCTAAGCAACCTTTGAGCCACTAGAGGGAGCTACTTGCCCACTCCTTCTAGAATGAGGCTGTTTCAGGACCAACAGGGTCACCTGGACTTCAGATGAGGGTGGGGTGCAGTTCTCCTCAGAATTAGACCCATCTGTTGACTAGGTTCCTACATTATCACCCAGCCTCTCTCAAAGGTATTCCCTTAGATCAAAGAGGACCCCTCTTCTGTAGAAGGGTTTGCATTTCCTGGAAGGCTTTGAGTAGCTCCTGTAGTTTGTTTCTTCTCTTTCTTCCTTCCCCTGTAAATGTCATTCCTCGAGCAGCCAAGTATAGAGAACAAAGCTGTATAGAAAGCAATGAAGAATTCATCACCAATGTAGTATTCTTGCCAAAAATATTGAAATAAATTTAGTTATAAGAAAATCAGACCAATCCAAACTGGGGGAAATACTACAAAATAATGAACTGGAATCTTCAAAAGAAAGGTCATTATCGACTAATCTAGATGAAAATGGATTAAAAAGATATGACAATTACAGGGGCTGGGGCTGGGGCTCGGTGGTGGAGCACTTGCCTAGCACGTGTGAGGCCCTGCATTTGATCTTCAGCACCACATAAAAATAAATAAATAAAATAAAGGTATTGTGTTCATCTACAACTAAAAAAAAAACTTAGAGCGATGACAACTACATGCAGTCCAAAATCCCACATTGTATCTTGGATTAAAACAAACAAAAAATATAAAGCAGCATTATATGGAATGGCTGGGGACATCTGAACATGCATGCCACTGGAGATAACAGGGTTGTACAACAGTGTGAGCGCAATCATGCTATGCTTCTGGTGGGGAAGGCCTGTTACCACACAGTCAGGCTCTGTACCTCTGGTTCTATAGGTGGGGATTCAACAACGATGGACTGAGAATATTTGCAATTTGTAAAACATAGTATCTGTATTGAAACTGTTCAGACCTTTTTTCCTTGTCATTATTCCCAAATAATACAATGATTTACATAGCATTTACATCGTATTGGGGGTTATGAATAAGCTAGAGACCACTTAAAGCCTATGGTAGAATCTGTTAAGTTATCTGCAAATACTAT